AAGGAAAATATTTTGTGAATAATAAGAAGATAGATTGAATTTAAATTAGACATAGATATAGCTACAGTGACAGAAATAGGCTACGATACGTACGAGGAAATATGTAAATAAGATGAAACTATATCAGTAGAATAGAGATCAGTAGCTCGGGATGAAATTTATTCATTTCAAGCGAATTCTTTTCGATTTTGTTTATCTGGAAATTTATGAGCTTCTAATTTCATTGTTATCGGAGATTTAAAAAAAAGGCTTGCGGGACATTTTCTTGAGAAGCTTTTTAAAAATTTATTTATTGTATAGACTTGACGAACTTCTCTATCTTAATTCTTGTTTATTCGACCTACTTATGTTATTTTTGGGAATTTTTGAAATGTCGAATGGATGCTGAGTATTTTAATAAGAAGAGGATCAGATACAAATTCGAGTTTGAGATTGCCTTAAGGCATTCAACTTGATGTGAATTGAATTTAAACGGAAAGACGGTTTTTTGCTATGACAGATTTTAATTCCGTGACATTTAAAATCACAAACAAATCAGATCCGATTTTCCAAATAAAATTATAATGCCGCATTATATTCAGCTGGGTAAAAAAAAGTCTCGAATTTAATCAGCATAGCTCAATTATTCATTTCCATTAATTTTTTTCATAGCTGATTTAATCCTTTTCAAATACTTATTTTGCCAGCTTTTTAATCTCCAACTAAATGAAGAATAAATGAGAATAATATTCAATAGCAGCAGCAATAAATCTCCATTTTTAATGATATTATTGTTATTACATTGTGGTAGACGTCAGGATGTGAAGTAAATTGAAAGAAAAAGAAGTAAAAAAATTGAGGAAGGAAGAATTAAGAAATGAGAAAATTTAATTTTATTTACTAGAAAGTAATTTTTCATTTATCAAGACTGTTGCTAAGGCATCAACAATTGTAAATTCAGAGTTTTAAATTCTACTGAAATGGATGAATTCAATTCTGGATTTGTTGCTTGGTGATGAGTCTGGTGGAATGTGAAATCTTTAAGCTGATAATTGGGATTTAAATGTTGGTTTGGATAAGCGGCTACTAAGCTCTGTTGACGGGAGGAAATATAAACTGGATGATGTATGATATCACCTCATTACTTTGAGCTTAAAGCCTGGACAACTGAATTTTTATTGAAAGCATAAAAGCAAGCTTGAAGCTGATTTTTGTTTATATTGCTGGCAATTATAATAAAATATTGTGTAATTCGAACATTTTAGTAGCTACTTTGAAGCTAAGTGGTAAAGTGATAATGAAAGCTATTGTAATGTACCAAAGAGAGAACATTTGTAAATTATGGACAACATAAGAAGCTCTTATTGTACAGAAGATTCGATTCTCTTCGCTGGAACCATTACACAATGTGTACTAATAAGAAGCTTTCCCTGAAGCTTTCTTTAACAGTTATTTTAATTCATTAAGCAAGAACTCAGCAAATTGAAGAAGATTCTCAATCTAAAGTTAGTTGTAGGCTCTGTAACCCTCCTAAGGAAACCTACTTTAATAAGAATTCCCGAAAATTCCATTATTATCCCAATCATCAAGTGTTTAATTTAATAATCTTCAAATTATTCCTAATAATATCAAAATCTCGCGTTATTCCAACCAGATGAGTCTTACATCCAAAATTTAAAAAAATCATCCACTTCATTTAAAAGTCACTCTTTCAATAAATAACACAATAAAATAACAAATACAATACACAACAACAACAATTTAAATTCAATAAAGCACAAAATATTTAAAGAACAAGAATCTCAGAAAGTAGACTGTTGAATCATTATTAATAGCAAGCTATATTACCACTTCTACTACTTCATCGTGTTTTCTATTGAAATCAATCAATCAATTTAATTTTTCACATAATTGAGTTTTTATAGTAAGGAAATGAATTCAGCTTCTTTTTATTTAATTGCAAGCACTTTACTTGCTGAAAAGGTATTGAAATGTTCATGCTTTTGATTTTCAATTTATTGAGAAATTGACGTAAGAAGCAATTAAATTGGAAATCGACATTTGTTTGATACAAAGTTGCAAAAATCAAGGATTATCGACTGAGAAGGATTAAAAGGATTGAATTCAATTGAATTTTTAATACTTTAGAGATAATTAAAACACTAGGAAAAAGAGATGATGTCGTTTGAGTTCTAATTGGATATAATCAACAACATGTAAGGTTGTAAGAATTAGTGCAGCTATAGATACTATAGAATATTATTAATTTGAAACTTTATCAAAGTTATTTCTATCTTCTTTTCTATAAAATCTAAGTCATGGATAATTACTCATTTGCTGTATGATTTTAATGTCTGATACTAATTGAACTTCTGCTAAGAAGCTTTTGTAGCTCTAAAATCGTAAAATAATGAGATAGGAAGGAGAAAATCCTACACAAAAGGTTTCGTTTAGAAAATGCTGTCTATTTTTTTAATAAAAATAATTTTTTATTACTAGCCTGCAAGCTTATTTTGGTTGCTTTAAATAGCATTTTACAACCACGATTCAAATTTTGCGGGGTATTTAAAAAATATTAAATTTCATCAACTTCATTCATTGCGAAAAATTGAATGAAAATATTATTTGTTATTTTAAACTTTCTTAAAGGCATTTTCTGTGAAGAATTTGAATTATTTAAATTATTTTTAATGCATAGGCCAAAAGTGTAGATTGATAAATCAGATGTTGATCTTTTTTGATCATTTTTGATTTGTTCTACATTTTTAATCAGTTCTGTTCATTCTTATCAAATTTGATATTTTCTAATCATTTTGAACAGTTCCACACTCTTGTTTGGCTTGAGTTTGATTGATGCTATTTAAGGCTTTTAAATTTTTCGTATACTTTAAGTTTAAAATACTGAATTTGATTTCTATTTAAATTTTAAAGCCAATAAATTTTAAATTTTCAAGGCACTAGTTTTTTTAAAATGGAAAAAAATTTAAAGATTTTTAAAAAAACATTAAAATTTTCTGCAATTTTTTTTTTCAAACCTAAAAATCTTTGATAAATTTTATATTCCAGCCAAAATAATCATTTTGCATCGCAGAAAATTTATCTGGTACAAAAAGAAGGCATTCAATCTGCTCAATATCTAATCCTAAAATCTATTCTCATTTCAATTTTAAAATGCACATAAAACACCAATCGAATGATGAACAATAATGATTTGAAATTGAAAAAAAAAGAATGAAAATTGAAATGTCGAAACCCTTTTTTGTCTTCCTCTCATTATTAACTCTTTTTTACAATCACGACATATACAGCATGTAAAAAAAATCATCGCTTTCAAGGTAAAAATTGATTTTTTTTTTCATTCTCCTTCTTGTTCTCATCATTCGAATGAGCATCACAAGTAGGGTTAAGGCAAAAAAGGTTCTCGTATATAAATCTAAATACGAAATAAAAAATAAAAGAAGGAAGAAGTGCTGGAAGAGCTTTTTTCTATCTCACTCTACTTCCAATTTACTTTCTCATTGATTTCGATTGAGTAGAAGATTCATTGAAGCAGCCTTAGGCTTATAATAATGATGCAATCTACATCTGAGACTGTGTACAATATTTGTTTTCCACACGGGTAGTTCCTTACACAAGATGCAACATTTCTCATGTTGCTCAGGTATGCCTGGATCGGGTAAAGGTAGAACGAGGGCAACTGTGTAGATTAATTGATTTTTTTTTTCACATTGAAACATGTGGTGCATTAATTAAAGCACAGATTTAACAGTGAACACACAAAAATTAAATGAGTTATTATGGAATAGTGGGGATATGGATTGAGGATTGACATGTGATATGGTGTCATGAGGTTCAGAAATTAAAAAAAAATTGAGACAAATAAACAACAAAATCATATTAAAATTAATCGAAATCATGTGTAATCGAATTATTTGCGGTCAATTGGTTGTTGAGCAGTAGATTTAAAATATTTTTTTTTTATTTTTGTGTACGTCCATCCGAGATAATTGTGTTAATATGTAATTTGCAACATCCACAATTCCACAAAAATCAGTAATTTTTTAAAGGACACAAAAACATGTTTTTTCAGGCATTTTTTGTGATGCGAATTAAAAATCCATTTTTCACAAAAAAAAATAGAAGGAAGAAAAAAAATTAATAAAAAAATTTGTGATTAGTTAAGTTCGGCTATAGCAAAAATTCAATTAATTTAAAAGGCGAGCATATTTTTTGTATAAGAATGGATTAACATTATTAATTGTATATTAAAATATGAATGTCATAATTAATTTTGTAGGATCGTTAATTATGAATGTATTAATTTTCATAATCCCATAATGACCTGTAACGCAAATCCTTGTACTTTTCAAAATAGTTTTTAATTTAGTCTGCATAAAATACTCAAATTACGATAAAGCTACATTTAATTTCTACAATATCTAGCATAAGGTCACTATGGGATGAACAAGAGACAGCTGCACAGCTCTTGACTACCTGAGCGACACAAAACTCTACCTGCAGCTTTGTATCACTCGGGCTATATTTAATAAATCATGTTTTTTAGTCAAAATCACAGAGCAAAGTTAAATAAATAAATTATATTATGTATTATTGACGATGCATATCAGCATAAGAGAATATCGATTAGGTTTGTTAATAAACTGCAATATGTTTTTTTATATAATTTTAATTTTTAATTCGTTAGCGTTCGGGGGGTGGATTAGTTGATTTTTAATTTATTAATTAGATAAATAATCCACAGTAGAGTCAGTAAATTAAGTTTAAATTAATGTAGCATTTGTTTTGTTTCGAGTTAAATGACCATTTCCTTTAGATATATTTATTTTTTTTGGGCTTCTTCTTTTTGGCATTAAAAAGTAAATTTAATTAACTTCTTATTTTTTCTTTGGCATCTTTTAATTTCTTTGTGACGAAATTTTTTCGCTTATTTTTAAAATAAATTTTCTTTTCGATAAATTTGTTTTGAAATGGCAAAATAAAATGATTTTTGTACAACATACCTCGGCAGGGATCATTCTTGACGAGGAATTCATCTAGGGCTACCCAACCACCGCCAACACGAACCATGACTGTACTTCTTAGAATTCTTACTAATCTCAATTTTTGACTGTCGCCGAACTGTGAATGAAAATTGAAGAAAATTTGATTAAATTTCGGTAATTTTTCAAGCCTGTTGATTTATGGAAACTTGATCTGGATGTCAAACAAATCCATAAACAAGATCTGCATCCAAAAATAAATTTGACCTCCTCCCAAAATCAGCTCTAAGCCACAATACTCACTCGATATTTTCCTTCACCAACTTGGAATACACGGAACTTCTGCCTACATGTGCACAACATGACTAAACGCTTAACTTCATCGTGAATCTTATCAGCATCATTTGCTGGTTTACGTTCTTGCCAATCGGGTCTCAAAGCAGCAATAAATTCTTGCCAATCAATTAATCCCTCACCATTACGATCAAAGAGATCCGCAACAGCACCCATTTCCATTCGTGATGTATCGAATTCTGTGAGTAAAAAAAGGGAATTATTTTTAAATAAATTAATGGAGAAAAAAAATTAAATTGCTGGAAAAAGAATTAATTAATGAAAATGTATATACGTACTCGTATTAATAATGCCATCGATAAATACGTCGCGTGGTATAAGACCGTTATTATCCTTGTCCATTTTACGGAACAAGTCTGTGAGGCGCGATTTTTTATGATTCATGAATTTCAGGAACTGTAAAAAAAATACATTTAATTTTTTGTCAATAAATTTTTAATTGTGGTGAGAGATGAGAAGGGAAATGTTCGAAGCAGAGATAAAACTGTGAAGCAATTGCCTCATTATGGAAAAATTCAATTAGAGACTCGTTCTTTCAATTTTTATTGCGAGAAATATTCATCATGTTGATGTTATTTATGGGGCTTAATGTGATTCTAGGGAGACTTTTTGGGGTCCAAAGAGGTATGTAAAATTTATTTGAAATTTTAGGGCATTTTGTTGATCCTCTGGCATAGATTAGAGTGAATATAAAATATTCAGCTTTATGTAGATGAATTTGCCAATTCGATAGTAAGTTCGTTGTAGTCGAACGGTTGATTAGCCGACCAAGAATAGATTACTCACTCTTTTGTGAGGACATAGGTTCGATTCTCACTAAAGGTCGATTTGACAATCATTTTATAATATTGTCGGCATCTTTGTAAAAGGAAGTGGTGGATTTCTTGCAAATCTGAGGCTAATATTGACTCTGAAATGGCCTCTAGTGATAATTCAGGGTGCTTTGCTCCAGAATCTAAAACAATGTACCACAGATATCCCCAGATACAGGTCCCTAATTGTCGATATGACAAAAATTCTAGCTTATATCATTAAAATCATAAATACTATTAATAAACCATAGTAGTATCGATATCGATTAAAACACAACTAAGTCATAAAAATGCTCATATGCATCTACAAAACCACAATTGCACACTACTCCAAAAAGACTGAAATCAATATCCATTCAAAACCTTTATCTGAAACGTGTCAATTCACGTAGATTGCAATGAACATATCGAAATGCAAAGAACTACTTTCATTCACAATTTAATCGGATTATGGTCAACAAATGAATACTTTTTTATCTTTTGATGTTACACGAGTACATTTTTAATTGAATGATGGAAAAGTCATCATATTCAATGGAATAAAGTCTATAGAAATTACTTAATTAATTTATATGAAATGGAACTTAATGGATTTTTAATCTCTGCTTCATTTGTAATTCAAATTGTCTGTATTTTACTCACCCTCTTACGCCAATCATCCCAACTGAATTGTCGAACACGTTCAAGTTCTTGCAGGTACATCAAATGATCATGTAATCTCTTCTGACGATCCCATGCCAACATCCATACGTGACGCCATTTATCCCATAAGAGTTTTGCTCGGAGTGAACGCATTTCTGGCTCAACACTGGTAGCACTAAATTCGGGAATGGAAAAACAGGAAATGTTAAAAATAAAAATTGATTTTTTTTTGTATGCCTGAAAAGTAAATTTTGATCTGGAAAATTTTCACTCCCTAAATATTTATGTCTACCAAAAATAAAATATATGTAAATTAATGGAAGCATAAAATGCGAAAGACAACATGAAATAAATCAGTCATGGTTACCTGGGCGAGAATCTAGGTCCATAATGTGGCAAGCGATCACGTTCTGGTGTTTGACCATCACGCATTGGACTGATACGGCTACATATACAAGTTTTATTGTATGTGTGTTTATGTCAATCCCACAAATGGTATACATGATATGGACATGATATACAAGAGTATTTTATAAGCAGGCAGAGAGATATGAAAATAATTTTTTGCACGCAACAAAAAGTTTTTTTTTTGGGGTTTTTTGTTCGTCAAAAAAAAGAGAAGAAAAAATGCAAAAAAAAATTATTATAAAAAAATGCCTCAGAATTTTGTTGACACCACCACCAATTAATCTTAGACAACAAAATATAAAATAAGTTGTGCAAAAAAAAAAATGAAAAATGAGTCTACCTTGTTCGTCTCTGATTAAGGCCGGCATCCTTTGAGCCTTTAAAGCTACACAATCAGATTCGGACACATTCAAGTGCATAATTTAACAAAAAAATTATAAGATTTTTTTTTCGTCAATTTCCCCATCAGGCAACACGGCACATACATAAATATAAAATCGGAAAAATTTTATGTCGATGATGGCGAAAATGATACAATGCGTAATTCATGAACAGAAAAAATGGAATACACATAAATGGAATGGTGCGTACGTATGCGAATAAAATATTCCGTACGATAAATATGTATTATTTTTTTTTCGGTGCGTGAGTATGTGCATTGTATGTGATGATTCAATGTGACAACAATAACATAAAAAATGAAAAAAAGAGAAAGAAAAAAAAAATTAAGAAAAAATCTCATTAATAATTGATGACAAAAAAAGTGAATATAATGACGAAGGGAATACGTGCACATGCTTGTTGATAGATTATTCATGAATCTCATGATGTCTCTCTTGTATAGAAGTTTGGAGAGGTGATTGTTAAGGGTGGGAAAGTTTAAAGTTATAAAAGTTCGAAAGGTGCTTGATACTTTTTTGTTTTAAATGTGTGAAAATTTTCCGATTAATTTTTTAGATTTTTTTGCTACATTTTTAATGACTAGTCAAACTTAAAGCGCATCTGAGCGACACAATGGCTGTATTAGGAGTCTTATCTGAAAGGCACATGTTGGTGAATGGTGTAGTAAGAGTTAGATGATGTCCACAACGGATAATCGCTTGTCGAAAAGACACAGCTTATGCTGACAACATTACAACATGATTTGATCGGATTTATGGATCCTAGATGACTACCTATGCCTTTTGTGTCGCTGAAGATACTATATTCTCATCTTATATTCAAAATATATTCTACAAAAAATTAAAGCACCTACTGCAAGAGGCAAAATACATGCCCACATGTAGAATTGAACAATTTATTCAAATAAATCATAAATTGAAATCAGATTTATATAAATCATCAATTCTACCCACATGACTAATCGAAAGGATGAGAACATTTTCTTTAAGAAGTACTCGATTTTACCTAATTTGCAATTGCTACATAAATCTTATCAAAGCAAAATAGAATTAAAGCTACCAAATATGCCACAAAACCAGAAATCGTCTGAATAAATTCGATCAAAACCTTCTTGTAAAATGATATTTTGTTTGTCTTGAAGGTGTTATTGTGGCTAAGCAACGATAAATTTGGGGATTTATCTTAAATTTGCCTTTATTATCTAAATGAGACAAATCAGTTAAAAAATGTAGAAATTTGTAAATTTGGCATTTAAATTCTGATTCAACTTCTAAAAACTTTACACTTAACTCTTTCACCATTTTTTGGTACTCAGACCTTTCTACTTCTACATCAATAAAATTCAAAAAATAATCTATCAAATTTAAAATTGTACCTCAAAACCTCCAAAAAAGATAATTTGGGTACATTTTCTTCAAACAACGTACACATGCAAATATGATGGTTTTTGAGTAAATTCTTGTAGATTTTTATCGCAACTTTTAAAATTTGAATAATTCGACTGATCTCACGGAAGATTTGGAAGTATTGAGCCACTTTGGCTTGTTCCAACTTAATCTAGTACTTACTCAAGCTAGTACTTCTACAATCTAGTACTTTCACAAGCTTGTACTTACTCATGCTAGCACTTACTAGAGCTAGTACTTACTGAAGCTAGTACTTACTTAAGCTGGTATATTTTCAAGCTAGTACTTACTCAAGCTAGTACTTACTGAAGCTAGTACTTCCTCAAGCTAGTACCTTTTCAAGCTAGTACTTACTCAAGCTAGTACTTACTCAAGCTAGTACTTACTCAAGCTAGTACTTACTTAAGCTAGTATCTTTTCAAGCTAGTACATTTTCAAGCTAGTACTTACTCAAGCTAGTACTTACTTAAGCTAGTGTTTACTCAAGCTAACAGCAAAAGAATCCTCGAAAAATTTTCTCAAAAACCTCATAAGTAATGATAATGGGATGCATCAAATATAGTAAAACATTAATAATACTTCAAGTCAATCAAACATTAAACACAAACCTCTGCTTACGACCCAAAGTGCTACGATCTGGTGAGCCTTCTCTCAGATCTTGTTGTGAACCCCTACTGCTCATACATTTTATGGATACAGTTATATGAATATATAGTTTTTGCATTTTGTGCAATAGTTTTTTTTTTTGTGAAAACAAAAGAAACATAAAGTTAGTTCATAACACAACACACGGCACATAAGTTATACGATATGTGTGAAAAATAAACGAAAAAAAAATAAAAATAAAATATAAAATTCATGCAATTTCGTGCAAAAGAATAAACATGTGAGACTATAAAAAAGTTTACGTACATTGGTGTTCTTAATACTGATGCTCTTGATGGCTTTCTGTGGTCTTTCATTGGCTGTGATACTGGTAGTTTAGGTTTGCATGCTCTATCTACTTCTGGCTGTCTTCGTGCTGTATTTTCCATAAATTCTTTGTGATCATTAATCAACTCCTCAACTGGTGGAATTTCTTCGGGTAATGCTTCACCCTCCAATGTCAATAATGTTGATTCCAATCCCAAAAGCCATCTTAGTAATTCCTCAATTGAATTCTCCAAATCCTTAAGTGCTTGTAAATGTGATTTTAATTTAGTTTCGCGTGACAATGACCATTGAGATATTTCTTCCCATCTTGATGTAATAATGGATATCCAATTCTTGATGATTGGAATTGCATCTGGATGTGCTTTCTGCAAAATTGAATTTGCAATTCTCAATGTCTCTTCTTTTTCACGTTCCTTTTCGCGCAATTCACGGGTAAATTTGGCATGAATGTCAATAAGCTGTTGAGTAGCGATTTCATCGTCTGGGAGAGCAGCTGCATAACGTAATTTTTGCTCTGCTTCTGAGAGCCACTCGAGAAGCATATGAACGTGTTTATGGAGTCGTTCAGCTTCGCGCATTGCATCTGATAATTTAGATTTTCGCTTCCCAGCCAGTGATTGCACATCTTCCCATAATTTTTGTAGTTCCTTCATATGCTTTGCTGTCTCGCGAGTGTCATCGGACTTTTCAAGATCCCGTCCTGTTTTTAATACTTGATTCATTTGTGCTGATCTCTTTTCAAGATCTGATTCTAGATTTTTGTGTTGATCAAATAAGGCAGTTACTGTATCCAAATCACCATAAACTGGTCCATCGTCTGACAATAGATTTCGTGTCTTTCTCAGCCATTCAAGAAGAGCTTGAAGTGCTTCAGAGAATTGACCAGAAAGTAATAAAGCTTCTTCCAATTTTCTTTGTCGTTCAACGCTCTTTGAGCATACGCGTGTCCAGCTTTCCTTCAATTCATTAAGCATTCTATTGAGAACAACTTCATCGGTTTTTGGTGCACGATCCATCAAGCCACGACCAGTTCTCATAGTTTGGTCATAAAGTCCTTGTTTGCCTGACAATGAACGCTGTGTCTCACGAATCTTTTCAAGATGCTTTTTAATCTTTATTGGGTCATTTGTTGCTTGCGATTCCTTTTCAAGAGTATCAAGTGTCACTTCTGTTTCCTTCAACCATGATGTAAGTTGTTGCCAGCTGTCGTGGAATTCACGTGCTTCTTTATAGCCATGATCCAATGCTCTTGTTCTTTCAGTCACTTTAGCAACGACACGTTCCCATCGATGTTGTACGGATACCAACAAGTTTTTAATCAAAATGACATCTTGCTTTTGACTGAAATATTTCAAGTGTGTTCCTTTCTTGTCAAGCAACAACATTGCTTCACGATGAATTGAAACATCTTTTTGTAGTACTTTGTGTTCTTCCATTTGATGTTGAATTATTTCCAAGACTCTTGATACAGGCGGTGCTGCAGTTAATTGTTTCTCAGCAACGGTAAGCCATTCAACAAATGCTTGTAATGAATCGTGGAATTCTGTTGCTTCCTTGAGGGCAATTTCAAGTTTAATCTTCTTATCGTTTGCTCTTGCGATAACTGCTTCCCATCTTTGCTTCAATGTTCTTAAAATATGTTGCAAATTGCTTGAAGTGACATTCAATTGGTTTTGTTTCTTGATGTAATCAGCACCTTGAGATAAGAGTGACTCAACTTTAGGACGATTTTCTTCAAGTTCATTAAACACTTCCATGAATCTTTCCAATTGTTCTGATGCTGTTTCTGGCAGGCCACCAACAGGTTTGCTGGCACCAATTACACCATCAACATCACCCAACCATCCAAGTAAATCTTGTACTTCAGCTGTAAAGCTTTGTGCTTCACGCAATGAAACTTCCAATTCATGTTGACGGTCAGCTGCTTTCTGTAATAAGTCACGCCATTGTTTATTGAGTGTCTTTAATTTTTCTTGTGTTGTTGATGCTTCAAGAGATCCACGATCTGTCTCTATCAATTGCCGGCCAGCATCATTCAATGTGTCAACTGAGCTCTGATGTGCATGAACATCATTTGCCAAAACTTTCAATTTAGCAAGTTCAACTTCTAAAAGTTGTGGATCACCAGGAATTGGTTTGAGTTGATCAAGTGTTGAATCTGTCTTACTAATCCAAACGAGAAGTTCATTAAGTGCATGTTGGAACTGTCCGAGATGCAATAAAGCATGTTCAAGTTGTTTCTGTCTATCAACCATGCCGCGTAAGAGATTCTCCCATCGTTTATTGACAGCATGAAGTGGCTCGCGAATTGCTGCCGCTTGTTCCGATGATGTTCGTTCAGTGAGTTCAATTGCTTGTCTATAGGGAAATAAAGAGAAATGGCATTAATTTATTTAATTGAAATTAATTGAGGGAATTAAGTTAATTGCGATATTAAATTTATCTTGCCTGTTAAGTGACCTTCAAATTTTACAATTGAATGCATTTTTGGTAGAAAAATGTGCAAGAAAATTTTGTGGATGTCAATTTTCAATTTTTAAGGTTAGAATTTTTAGTAAATGGGCGATTCTCCAGATAAAAATTTTCAAAAAACCACCACTAAAATGAATTTTTTATAATTTTTTTTTCCATTAGAGAGCCTCGAAAGACAAATTAATATTGTACAACTTTTTAAACTCTACAAATCTGTATAATTAAATGCTTTCAATATACTCTAATTAAGGAAATATTTCGATTCTTCGGACGATTTCTCGAAGACAAAATATGGAATTTGGATTTTTATAATCAAAAATTAAGTATTAAAAACTATTCTTTGACATATGGTATAAATACCAATCGATAGAAAACGAACTACTTTATCATATATGACAACAATTTTATTAAGCTTAATACAAATTTCACAAGAAAGTTCAATTCTTTTGATGAAATTTTTGTCTTCGAGTAATTTTTAAAGCGCTTGAAACTAATTTGTGAGATTCAAATTTTTCAAATACGTTATAAATTTAAATGGAATATTTTTAAAAGAAACGATAATGATTGAGTGCAATATTAATTATTAATTACCTTTTGTTTAATTAAAACATATAAAAAAAAATGATTTTTATAAATTAAAACAAAATTTTATTTTTGTAAACAAGTCTTTGTTTACATTTTTCCCAACGTATTTCAAAAATTTAAAAATTTCAAGTAGCAGTGGAATTACAGTTCTGTTTTTAAAAACTCAACCTATCTGGAGAATCGCCCAAATATAATTAAAAATGCTACAACTTACCTATTCAATGCCTCAACTTCAACCATGTGTGGATCAACATCGTCTTTGAAATGCTTTAATTGCTCAATTTGCTTCTTAACGGCATCAATGTCACTTCCAATTGGTCCCAAATGAGCAAATCGGTCTTCAGCTTTAGCCAAGAACTTCAAAAGATTCTGAAGAGTTTCATGGAATTCCATTGCCTTCTCCATAGCATCAATAAGATTTTCTTCACGCTTAGCATACAATGCTGTAATGTTGTCCCAAGCATGATCCAAATCTTCAATATGTTTCTTGACTTCTGGTTTGTCTGGTTCACCACAAAGTGACATCAAACTACCTCCAGTCTTGCGGACTTTCTCAACTTCTGGTTTTGTTTGGTCAATTTCATGACGAATTTCTTGTAAAACAACTTGTTGATTCTTAATTGCTTGTGGTTGAGCAGCTGGTGGCTCTTGAGATTCGAGTGATTCTTTCAAGTCTCTTAAAGTGCTCATGACACCTTGTAATTCCTTCCAGAATTTCTCAGCAATCTTCAATGTATCGTCTAAATTGGCACCACGTTTGCTTGTTGCTGTCTGAACTTCGTTCCATAATGCATTAAGTTTCTCCAATTTTCTTTTAATATCTTTAACTGCTGGATCTTGTTGGTTGTTTGCCTTATTAATAACATCATTAGCTGCACGTTTAACTGCTGTATATGCATCAGTTCTCTTATCCAAATCATCAACAAGAGCTGCATTATCTTCAATTTGATCGCGAATCTTTGGTGGATGTGCTGACACTGGATCAGCTTGATTGACTTGATCAGCTGTATTTGCAAGAGCTCTTAACATACCTTCAAGCTTGTCAGAAAATTGTGATGATTCTTGTAAAGCTTGCTCTAATGCTTGTTGACGTTCACGTAATTCGGTCTTCAAAGCAGCATAACGTTGATTGACAGTGTCAAGTAATTCCTGAATCTTAACGGAATCATCATCAGCAACGAGGCTTCCAAGTGCTTCTCCGGTCTTATTGAACTTGTCAAGTAATGGCTTATGATCTGAAATTGACTGCATAAGTCGTTCATTTTTGTCTTGTTGAATAGCAATTTGATCTGGTCTCAATGCAGGCATAGCAAGCAATGAAATTTGATGTTCCATTTCATTAAGCCATCCTGAAAATCCATTGTAAGAGTCAGCAAAGTGTTCAGATAATGGCAATGCTTGTTCCAAAATTGACAATCGTTCAGCACAAAGTGATGAAACAGTTTCGACAATTTCCTTAAGATCTTCGAGCTTCTCACGCAATGTTGATGTATTTTCACTTGGCTGTGATTCACGCAAGACTTTTTTAGCTGAACTTGTAACATCACGAACGCGTCCCTTTTGACTGCTGACATCATCATTAATAGAACGATGTTCTTGTAACTGTGCACGAACTAATTTTGGTTGCATTGCTGGTGGATCTGCATCACGTAAGTTAGCATCTACATCACGAAACCATTCAAGCAATTCATCAATATCAGTTGTGACTTCCTTACTGCGTTGTTTGCTGAGATGTAAACGTTCAGCTTTACGTTGAATTTGTTCAACAATTGCTTCATATCGGCGATTATCACGTGTGACAAGTGCCTCAATTGTTCCAGCACCTTCACCTGGTGATGTTTGGCAAAGTTGTGGACCAACAGTGTTGATTGTTTCCAAAATTGGACGCATTTCAAGTAAATCACTTTCGAGTCTCATAATGTCATTTTCTCGTGTCTCTCCTGAAGCCAATGTAGATTCAGCCATTTGCATCCAATCAAGTAATCGGATGTGTGATTCATGGAATTGTTGAACTAATGGCAATGTGTCTTGTGCTCGTTTTAAGTAGTCACCACCACGAGTTGCAAGATCTCCATAACGTCGTTGCAATGAATCAAGTTTGTCTTTTAATTGCAATGCTTCATCGCTTGTGATGTGCTTCATAAGTTCTGAACCAGCATCTACTGTTGATTCTACATTTGGTGCACGGGATGCAATGTCTTCATTTAAGTCAACAAGAAGATCCATTTGTTCTAATAACTTCTCTGTATGGACTGGGACAATCTTGAAATGATTTAATCGACTTTCCATTGATTCCATCCATGCGACAAGATCTTGATATGTCAAAACAAGATGACGTAAACCTTGACGTGATTGGTCTAAAAGATTTCCAATACTCTCACTGGCCATAACCAAGTCTGTATAACGTTCTGTGGTAACTTTGACTTTTTCACCGAGACCTGCTGCTTCATCATCACCAACTAATTTCATCAATTCAAATGCAACATCAGCAAGTTCTGAGAATTCTGGTTTCTTGCTTATGATTTCGTCATGTAAGCGTTCATGTTCACGGATACGTTGTTGGATCTTCTCTTCATCAGTTGGAACTAATTCCATAGATTTGACTGATTTTTCAGCACCATCGAGCCATTTGTTTAATGGTTGATATTTGTCTTGGAATTGTCTGGCAATTAGCATAGCTTGTTCAAGAACTTCTGTACGCTGTTGGGTCTTGTCTGTAAGATTATCGAATCTTCTCATCAAGTCTTTCATTTGTTTCTCAATTCTCTGCTTCTCAGTTGGATCACATCCAGCTGCAACTTCCTGTCCTAAACTGACAAGTGATGAGAGTGAAGTTTGTCTATCCAACAACATCTTGACAAGGAATTTTTGTTCTTGAAGTTGAGCCTTAACAACTTTGTAGTCAGCTGATGGTGGTTTTTGATTTTCAACCATTTCTTCGGCATCACTGAGCCATTTCGAGAAGCCATCGAGTGCTTCTTGGAATTTACCAGACTGAAGAAGTCCAACATCCAATCGACGATCACGTTCATTCATCTTTTCCTTTAATTCATTCCATTTTTCGTTCATTTTTTCAAGATCTTTTTCGAGTTGATTTGTAGACACACCTGATTGCGCTGATCTGACTAAATCTTGTCCTAGCTTATTGACACCATCGACATTTTGTGCCAGTGGCTCAACAACACGTGTACGGAATCGACGGAAATCATCTTGTTGGTTACGAATTTGATCTAAATCACTTGAGACTGCCTTCAATGTTTTCAATTCTTTAGCAACTTCTTGCAAATCTTCCATAATTGCTACATGAGCATCATAGAACTTTTCAAGTGATTTTAAGGCACGCTGCAAGGCATCTTCATGATCACGTGTACGATTTTCAAGACGTCCTAATGTCTTCTTAAGTGATGTAATTTGATCACGTGTCTGTGCTGTATCAGGTGCAAAACCATTATCAACAAGAATTTCTCCAGCTCTTTGAGCATCAGCAACTTTATCTTGTAGTCTAGTCAAATGAGTATAGATGGTATTGACTTCATCCAATTGAATAACAATAATTTTCATTTCACGTGCTGGTGGCTGCAAGCTGTCAACCTTATTTTCCAAATCTGATAAATCAATTGCCAAATTCTTGACTTGTTCGTTAAATTGATGAACTGCTGTAGCTGCAGATTGTAATTCACCACATCTGTCTTCAAGACGTCCACATAAATCACCAATACGATCTCCAATAGCTTCAACTTCATTCGATAAATGATCAGCATCACCACCTGAAGCTCTTGTTTCCATTCCGATATCGTTTGCGAGTTTTTTCAACTCACCTAATGGCTTCTTAAGTGCCATTGTGTCTTCCTTAATTGTCTTAACACGTTCGAGTAATTTTGGATCTTTAGCTGCACCCCCAAGTGCATCATGAGCTGCCAAACGATCTTCACAGCGGCACACAGAATTATCGAGCTGCCTTAATTCATCATTAAAGTCACTCAAGCGACGAGCGCATTGTTCGAGTGCTTGTGCCTTAATCAATAGTTCATTATTCAACTTCTCCCAACGATCTTTCATGTCACCAAGTTGTGCCTTAATTGGATCTTTGTCAATATCACATGTATTAAGGAATGTCTCTCCACTGGACTTTGTTGATTCATAATCACCAGATTTTTTCCAGACTTCACTTCGGAATGTTTGAAGATCCTTCAATTGTTGTTCAATTTGTTGACGTTTCAAGACACCTGGACGTAAATTAGATAATTTCTCTTCAGCATTTCTAAGCCATAACATAAATGCATCAGATGATGTGTGGTATTTTTTGCAATGTTCCATGCATGACTGTAATTTTGTATGACGATCGACTGTGTCCCGTCTGAGTTTTTCCCATAGACTTTGAATTTTCTCTAAATCGCGTTGTAAGCTACGATCACCACGTTGTTCTTGCAATTCACGACCTTTGTTAAGCAACATAATAATTTCATGCTCACGTTGCATAACTTCTCTGTAAATTGGCTCGTGTGTATCAATTTGATGTTGTAATGTTGGCTTATGTGCACTGACTAAAAGTCTATCAGTCATGCTTGAAAGTTCTGATGACAACCAACCTAATGTACGAGCACAAGTTTCTGCAAATTGACGACCATCACGAAGTGCAGCTTCAGTTTCAGCTTTACGTTGATCGAGCTTCTTTTGTAATGCTTGATATTGTTTGTCAACACCACCAATTCTTGCCATAACATCAGCACGTGATGCTGGATCACCAAGAACTTTACAAAGTTCATCAGCTGCATGTTCAGCATCAGCCAACAATGGACGTTGTCCTTCCAATTGTCTTTCAAGATTTTCAATCTTTCTCAAAGCTTCTTGATGGTCTCGATCGTATGGCAAACTGTCGAGATTATCACTAATATTTTGTAAAGCTTCTCTTAATCGGTTTAAGCCAGCATCGAATTCCTTGCTGGAATCAACAGCAGCACCAAGTGAATTAGCGCGTGAATCTAATCGACCAACTAAATCATCCCATTTTGATTCAATATTGTTAAGTTTATTGGACACAGCTTGTCCTTCTGGTGATGATTCACGTAAGTTATCGAGTAATGAATGTCCAACATCTTGTAAATGAGTCAATTGTGGTTGTTGTCCACGGAATTCTTCACGAAGAACTTGAACTTGTTGGATTTGACTTTGTACCATTCGTGGATCTGATGAAATTGGACCTAAGACTGTCAACATCTTCTCCTTAGAATTCAACCATGAATTCAAATTATCATGTGTATCTAAAAAGTCTCTCAACTTTTCAGACGATCCAATTCTATCTTTACATAAATCACTCAAATTCTTCCATCTTTCAACGACTGTTTCGAGTTCAACGCGCAGTGCTTCACCGCCTTGAGCGTCTGGTTTCCTCTTCAATAAATCACGAACTTGCGTTCTTGTACTATCTAATAAGCTTTGCTTCTCATACATCTCCTCTAATACTTTTCTGGATTGTTTTGTACATTTCTCAGCATCATCCTTGCTGCCAATAACATTTGTTGGCACTTGACGTTGAATCTTGTCCAAGAAGGTGCTCAATGTCTTCAAATTGTCTTGATGACGACGAACTTCATCCTTAATTGTGTCAATTTCATTCTGACGATCATTCAATCGAACTCCCAACATTGAGTAACGATTATTAATTTCCATAAGTTGTTGCTGAATTGGTGTCATGTCACTCAAATGGAAACCTTCTTGTGATGATCTTCTTGAGCCAAAACCGCTTGATGTTGGTGACATTGGGGATGGAGCTCCTTTTGTTGGTGATGGTGATCGAGCTTCAGAACGGTATGGACTGACTGTTGATCTCTTGATTGGACTGTAAACATTGCGTTTACGATTTGGTGATTCTGGTCTGATTAATGCATCATATTGAGCACCTAGATCATTGACACGATCAATTGTAATGCCATAATCACGGTACTCCTTCATCATTGGTTTCAATTCTTCACTTTGACGTTTAACAACATCAATGTCAATGGCAACTGGAGCGAGTCCATATGTTCTCTTTTCAAAGGATGCAAGCCATTGCTGTACTTGATCCTTAAGTGACTCATAAGCATTAAATTGTTCAGCTTTTTGTTTAAAAAGTTTTACCTTTTCGTCCAAGACAAGTTCTAAGTTGCGCCATTGATTTTCTAATGACTTAATACGATCACGAACAATGCCTGTATCTGTAACATCACGCTTGCCAATAAGATCTTTTCCAAGTGAGACACATGCTTCATACATTGGTTTCATTTGATCTTTAACTCTCATCATATCTTGTGTCTTTTGAGCAAGGATCTCGGCTGGTAACATAGACAAGTCCCGTGAATCAATTTGTTCTTGTAATGCAACAAGTTCTTGTTCCAAAACTGCACCTTCATCATTAAATTTGCTCAATTGTGCAAGAGTTTCATCAAGGAAGTCACCACGTTTAACTGCTTTGTCGAGTAATTTTTCAAATCTGCTGATTACATCCTGTAACTTTTGTTCAATCTTTCTAGCCAATCTTGCATTAGATGCTGATTGCATTAAGTCTTGTGCTGCAAGTGTAACGGAATCTAAACTTGCACGATGTGATTCTAAATCAGCAAGAAGTCCACGATGTTCACGAACTTGTTCTTGTAAGCGTTCCTTAATCAAACTTGCTGGACGCATGTTAAGTTTGAATTTATCTTCTGATTGATTGATCCATGAGACGAGACCGTCTAATGCATCTTGTACTCCTTGTGATTGAACAAGTGCTGTGTCTAATAATTTACAACGGTCACCAAGTGCTTCCAAATATTGATGATATTTATCCTTTAATTCTTCAACTGGAATCTCTAATGCTGAAATTTCTGATGGTGATAATTGACCAGCAAGTGATCTTAAGAGCCAATCAAGACTTTGTTGCATATTATCCATATGGCGACGTCCTTGCGATAAGAACTCATTATGAATTGCCTTAGCTTCATTCAATTGATCTTGAACTGTTGATGGATCAGCAGCTGGTTGGTCATCGAGACATTTATTGACTCTTGGTGATATTTCTCTCATCCAGCTACGTGCCTTCTCCAAATTATCTTGATATTCACGTTGACGACCGCTAAGTCCACTTAGACGATCTGACAATGCATTTGATCTATGTAATAAGTCACGATATTGGGCACTAACAAGTGATACATCCTCACGAATTTGTGATTCTGATGCTGGAATTGGTTCAATGTGTGGCAATCTTTCTGGTAATGTTGTACGGAATTCATTAAGAACACCAAGGAAGTCCTTTGATTCATCAACAAACTTCTGTGCTGACATTGTAATAAATCGCAAGTCAGCTTGATGAGCAATAACATCACTTACAAATTCCTTAGTTGTGTCTGACTGATTTGGTAATTTATTTAAATCTGACAATGCACGTTCCTTATCCTCCAATGTACGACGTGCTGATTGCAACCATGTGGAGAAAATCTCAAGTTCTGACTGTAACTTTGTAAGTTCATCTCTAGCACCGGCGAGACGTTTCAAGAGACGAGATGTGCGATCTTGTGAACGATCGACACGTGAACGTAATTCACGTCCTGAATTTTCAAGAGCATTGACTTCTGGGGCTGATAAGACGTCACTTCCAGTGAGGACGATTTGACGAACTTGCTCTAAGCATGATGCTACTGGGCGCTGGTTAAGGTCGATGTCTTCTTTGATTTGCTGTTGGTTTAAGGGATGAACGAAATATTTTTTAAGGTTATGTTAAGTTTGAAAAATTATGGAACTTCCCGGAAAAAATTATATTATTAAACTCTTTAACTCAGTGATTCTCAAGCTTTGTTCCTCGACACACTACAGTGCTGCCAAACCTTTAGATGTATAGTGAAAATTTATGGCGACACACATGTAAATGGTTTAGTGTGTGGTGCTCAAAAAGGTTGAGAACCACTGCCTTAACCCCAACTACTTACCTTCAACAAATTAATTTGATTTCTCAATTCATCAATTCGTTCTCTTGGACCGCCAACAGATGAAATCTTATTCTCAATATCGGATATCCACTTCAACAAGTGTGTCAAGTTTTCTTCACAAAGTGCGAACTTTTCAATTACTGCTTGCTGTTTACGACGAGAAAGTTTGGAAAAATTAAATTAAAAATTTGCAAAATAAAAAAATTTCAAAAAACTAAAAAACAAAAAATTCTGCGAACAAAAAAAAACTGAAAACGAACAAAAGTTTTCATTTTTTTATAAAAACACAAAAAATGAAGAATAAAAAAATAGATTTTCAACTCTCATTGACCATCAAATGGAGTGTGATAAGGTTTTAAGAATGTAAAGAGTATTAAGGAGGAAGGGACATACACAAAAAAATAAGAGAGGAAAGCAACCAAACAGAACAAAATATATAAAACCTTTATGGGTGAGCAACAATCACAAAGCAACAAATAAGCATGCAATAACAGGCAAAACAGCACTTTTCATTTGCAAATATTTGTGTACCGGTAATCAATAGCACACAAACCTTTTATCCCAATTCTATTTGGTGCAGTTGAAAAGTTTATTTGTTGGCAAAATGAAAATTTTCCACGGAAAATTTACACATTTACAAAAATAGGCAGGCGAGAAAAAAAATTGTTGGATAGAGCAAAAGAAGCAACGGCATTTGTTGGGTTTTTTGAGGAAATTTCACACACAGTTTGTCTTGTATTCTGGGTTGTTTTGTGAGGAGTTTGATGGAATTCTTTTGGTTAGATTTCATTGATTGCTTCTGATTTCTTGAGCTAGAAGAGCTAAGGAGTTTAGAGAAAGCTAGCTTTTAAATCTTAATTTGAACTAGCTAGTGTTTAGCAACTAATTCGAAACTGGTTTCTAGATACTAGTTTCAGCAAGCTAGTTTCAAGATTATAGTTTGATAAAGCTACGTTCTAGCTACTAGTTTGAGCAAGCTAGTTACTTGATCCTAGTTTAAGCAAGCTAGTTTAACGATCCTAGTTTGAGCAATTATTTTATAAACATTTAAAATCATCATTGAATTAAGTCAAAAATTGACAAAAATTCTTCAAAAAAATAATAAAATTCAAATTAATTCCCCATTAAATAATGACTGTAATAGCTATTGATCACCCACTCATTAGCACTTATCATCATAACATAGCAATCAATGGCACTTGACAATTAAATTCCATCAAAATCCACTCAAATTTGTGTTCCAAGCACTCAAAAATATATTTTTTAATAAACTTATAATAATATTGTTGGATTGCGTGTTAGTTTGTGTGAATGGATAATGCTAATAACTACATGCAGGGTTAATTAATTATCATAATTGGATCTAATTAAGCATTTTTGATTTTAGGGAGTTTTTGTTGTTGTTGTTTTTGTATAAAATTAAAAGTTATCGAATTAAAATAAAATAAAAAAAATTGCATATCATTAAAAAATAATCCTGGAAATACACAAAAAATAGATTAAATTAAAACTGGCAAATCAAACAACAATAAAAGAAAATTAATTATAATACAATCAGGTATAACAAAATAATCATATAAAATTATAATAATTGAACATTCATGCACGACATCCTTGCACATCGAGTGAGTCTAATTACAAAATAAAATAAATTATAAAATTTCGTTCACAAAACTAAACTAAATTAAGAGTTGAAAATGTTCTTTTTTTTTGAATTGGAAAAATAATATTTTAAAAAAATCATAAAAATAACAATGAAATTTAATTAATCGAAGTTAAAACATTTGCTGATGTCGTAAGAAATGAAGCATAATTAATTATAAGAAAACTTTTTCTGTGTCTGCAATCATAAAGTTTTGTCTTAGCTCATTAGTGTGATAATTAACTTAATATATTTTCTCCATAATCAAAAATTATGCATGTACTTATCATGTATGCACATTCCTAGTAAAGATGCAGCCATGAATTTACCTGAATGCTTTTATGTGTGTTTTTGTGAGATTTTTTTTTAAAAAAATCTTTAAATTCAAAAAAATTGTTTTAATGCATGAAGTTTTTCAAATAATGTGTGTGTGGGTGTTTTTGTGGATTCTTTTGTCTTGGCAGTAGTTCAAAAAAGATCCCTAAAATATGTAAAATGATAAAATTATCTCTACCTTTTTGCAATAAAGTAAGGAGTAATTATGAGTTTGAATAAATGTGGAATGATATTTTTGGATGTTGATACTTATTGGAAATAAAAGAAAATATTATAGGGCAGATACCTTCGAGACTTTCGAGGGTCATATCTAAATGAAACTTAAAAAGCAATCAGAAGATACTTTGATTAGCTCTGGATACCCCAATGTACCAGGTTTACTTAAATATTAACCATTTACTCTACTGATTCTCAAACCAAACTTAGCTGCCCTATGTGTACTTATGCTCCATGACACACTAGTGTCTCACTAGCCAACTAGCAGCTCAATTTACTAAGTTCATTCAAAAACAACGACTATCATGCCCCGTTTGAAAATAAAATACAGCCCCCCCCCCCCCCCCAATTTTTTCAAATTCTCATAAGTATCCACATTCAAAAAAGGTAAAATAATCCTATCCTCAATATGAAATTGTTCTCATGTATATATGTCCTGCATATCTAATGACAATAATCTCTTAAACATATAAATGCATCTTAAACAAAAATGAATATAATGATAAGCAAGTAGAAACAATAGCTGTGGATCTGAAACAGCCTTAAAGTTCATCTACAAAAATCATTTAAACCCTAATCTATCCTATGAATATGAATGAGGACGTGGCACTATCCCAATATCCGGTTTCCATGTATTTTAAATTTCCATTATGTCAATTTTTTTTTCTGTCACTGATTTTTATTTTTAGCCACAAAACTTTTTATGCATTCAAATAAAAACAAAAAAATATTCTTTTTTCATGCAACAAATATTATGTCCAGAGAGAGAGTTAACAATATTTTTTTTGGAAATTTGAAAAATGCCAAAGCCTTTAACAATAAAAATTAAGAGTCACAAAAAAAATACATAATTTTTTTATAGCAACAGAAATAGCATAAAAATCGCAATTTTCTCTGTTAATGAGATTTTTTTTTTGGTCAGACAAATTTATGTCCATAGCCATTAGCCATTTCAGCCAAAAAAATTATAAAACCAGAATAAAATCTGAATAGGGATAAAACAAAGTTTAGGAGCGTTAGCAGTCACATGGAAATTTTTTTTTCTGTATATATATGTGTGTATGTGTAATTAAAATTCTGTGTGGCATAGCATGTAAGAAAATTAAAAAAATTAAAACAACAAAAAAAAGGACAGAGAGCATTAAAAGCAGGCAAATTCCAACCGAATTACTTACTCGCTGTTCGGCTGGTAGTAAAAGACCCTTTTCACGAGCCTTAAGTAAATCTATAGTTTCATTATCGTTAACTAAACGACCATGGACAGGGTCTATCAAACCACTAGCAATTGCCGCTGAGAGCGGAGCTATTTCTCTATTATCTACATCCCGCACCATTGTTGTAGATGGATCAATAAGGCCTTTGGTAATAGCATCATTAAGAGTCATAAGCGGATTGTTGGCAGAAGTAGCAGTAGAGATGAAAGGATCTTTAAAGCAACCAGGTTCGGATTCATAAAGATTGTATTTGAGGGCATCAATTAAGCCAAGGGATCGTTTAGGTGTAATGAGAATAGCATCATCAACAGCTGATTTTAATGGAAGTAATTTTGATGTGCTCGTATCGACAACATTAAATTTATCAGAGTCAATAAGTCCCTTGCGAAAAGCTTCGGGTAATCGAATCAATTTTCCTTTTGCACCATCTTTTATGAGTGCTGAGTCGGGATCAATTAAGCCACTCGTAATTGCTTCTTTTAAGTTGCAACTTATTGCATTATCGGGATTTATGTAGACACCGTTCGATAAATCTAAATGACCTGATTCGACAGCATTCTCAAATGATTCCGGTTTACGCGTATAAATAACACATGTTGGATCGAATGATAAGCTTGTTGCAGATGGATCAATTGCAATTTTTTTATTAAGCGCATCAATTACCCCCGAATGTTTGTCGCTCATTGCTCTCGAAAGCGATATAAATTGACCAGTTTTAGGGTCTTTAACAAAAACATTTTCAGCATCAATAATGCCAGATTTTATTGCATCATCGAGTGATATTTCATTTGACGACATTGCTGATGTTGATGAAGGAGCATCTTGCTTCGATAAAATATTTTCAAAACTCTCAATTCTCTCAATTGACTTACCCGTCAATGGCTTACGAACTGAGACTAGTAAGCCTTTATTAAAAGCAACATCAAATGTACGTGACATTTTTGAATCAGGATCAATCACACATCCTTTCACAACATTCACATCACCCTTTTCGATTGCCATTTTCAATGACATTTCCTGACCACTCGAGATGTTCTTTAAGATGGTCGAATCGACATCAATCAAACCATTATCAATGCATGCTTGTAAATCAAATATTTCATTTGATGATGGATCAATAAATTTACCACTTTCAGGCGTATACAATCCCATTGTTATGGCATTTTCGAGAGATATCAATTTTTGGTGACTTACAATCAATCCCAAACGTCTTGCTTCTTGTAAATCGATTCGTTTTGAATCCTGTGATTGAGGATAGACATAAACGGCATTTTGTGGGTCAATTATTGATTTTTTTATTGCTTCCGAGAGTTTTATGTACGAATTCGTTTCCAAATCCTTTACGAGGGATAACATTGGCGATATTAAATCATCCTGAATGGCATCAGTCATGGTGATATGGCAGCCGTTTGCAGGATTTATGAATTTCCTCTTATTTACGTCATACAATTTCATTGTAAGAATCTCATGCAGTCCAAAACCCCCACTTTCAATATCGACAATAAGACCTAAATTTAACGCCTCATTCAACGGAACAAAGACATTACTTCCTGGTTCCTTAAAAACACCTTCCCGTCTATCAATCATCTTCATACGACAACATTCACTCAATGACATTAAAGTCTCCTCATTCTCATCAAAATAACATGGTAATGTTGGATTTATTACCCAACGGCGCATAGCTTCATGTAATGTCATTTTCTTATTTGTTGTTGGATCACTAATTTTACCAGATTGACTGTCATAAATGCCTTGATGAATTGCCCTCTGGATACTTATTGGGGCCTTTGTATCACACAATATTCCCAAATCAAATGCCTGTTTCAATGTTAATTTTCTTGAATCAATTTTCACATGTGACTCATCATCAATCATACCTTTGTGAATTGCATCAAGTAATGATAAATCATGGTAGATATTTGTTGCTGAATCTTTTACTTGAACGGAGTTTGGATCAATTAATTTAACCGATATAGCTTGTTCGAGTGTCAATCGTTGACCTGATTTTGGATCCATAAACAAGCCACTCGACTCATCGTAAATGTTCTTTACTAACGCTTCATATAATCCAATTGGTTTACGAACTTCAACGAGAATGCCTCGATCAAATGCTTCACGAAAATCAATTTTATTTCCATATTCATCCGTGATTGTACCCCGTTTTGTATCAACCATTCCCGTCTCGACAGACAATTCAAATGGAAGAATTTTTCCACCTATGTTAACAACCGTTGATTGTGGATCAATAAAGCCACGCTTGATTGCACGTTCGGTTGAAAGTTTTTCGGTCGTCAATGTATTTGCAAATGTTCCAGATGTTGGATCATATAGACCTTTAAAAACAGCCTCGGGTAGTGAACATTTTCTTTTTGATAAAATTATAATGCCACGATCGACAGCCTCATTGAACGTAAGTTGCTCACCATTATATGGCTCATTTACGCATCCATTTTTGGCATCGATTAAACCACTTTTTATTGCATCACTTACGGATATAATGTTATTTGATTTCGGATCATGGATAATCAAGTCATTTGTAGATATTTCATTATGCTTAATACAATCGTCGAGTGAAATTTCATTTCCGCTTTCGTTTGGCATCAATTTACCGGTGATTGGATTATACAGATTTCTAATTATTGCATCGGATAATGAAATTGGTTTTTTCGAGCTTAATATATAGCCTCGTTCGTATGCATTTTTAAGATTTAAATCGGGATACGTGAGACGTCCGTTGAATGTGTCAATTAAACCACAGGAAATTGCATCGTTTGCAGACAAAACTCGTTCGTTTTTATCGTCAACAATTAATGTTGAAGCTATATCCAAATATCCTGATTTAATTGCATCCTCAATCGTATCAAATCGTCCATTCATTGGATTCAAAATTCTCTGCTTATCAACTTTATAGTATTCCTTTACAATTACATCAATGAGTGTCATTTTAATTGGTTTTGTTGATATTAAGTTCTGTCTCAATGCATCATCAAGTGACAATAATTGTCCACTTTGTGTATCTTTTAGTAAATCATCTTCAATTAATTTATCGTCAAGTGCTTTCTGAAGTGGAACAATTTGATCCTTTTGTGTGTCTTTAATCTCAGATATATTTGGATCAATTAGACCGGAATCAATTGAATTTTGAATATTCAATAAATTGCCATCTGTTGATTTGAATTTGTTGGATTGTTTATCATATAATCCGGATGTTATTGCTGCCTCAAGTGAGATTGGACTTTTTATGCCTGCCAATAAATCACCTTCCTTAAATAGTAAATCTAATGGCTTATTCTCGCCCGATTTATGATCTATAAAAATTCCACGCTTCAAATCCACTGAGCCATCCTCAATTGCCTTTACCAGTGGCACAATTTCACCGTCTGAATTACGTATGGATATATTATCGACCTCAAGAACACCTGAATGAAGTGCTTCACTGACAGGCAATAAAATTCCATCAACTGCAACTTTACCACTTTCATCATCCAATAATCCAGCATTTCGTGCATCTTGCATACTCATTGATAAGAGCTTTTCAGGTTCTTTTTGAATTACCCATTGACGTTTGAGGCATTCGAAGAATGGAATTCTTTTTCCGGTTTTTGGTTCAACCATTATTCCTGTATTTCGGTCGATTAAGAGCTTTTCTAGTGCAACAGCAAGTGGAACGTATTTATCTGTATTTAGATCCTTCACATATATCAATTCCGGATCAAAAACACCACAATTGAAAATAAAATCATCAAATGGCACTTTATCACCGGTCGATGGATCAACAAAACTACTCGTACGTTTATCGAAAGCACCAGCATTCTCAAGCTCATCTTGTGAGAGATTTTCATTGATTTCCAAGTCTTTTGGCTTCTTTCCTTCATGGCCTTTCTCATATATCATTGATTCACTCAATTCCTGTATCCTACTCAATACCATTGGATCCTTTTCTGATGAAGTTTTTCTATTCATATTCTTAACAGAATCAGCAACAGCCATACCGGCTAGAATTGGAGCTCCAACAATTGCCATTAATCCTAACTTTGCTGCATTTGCGATATCCTTACCGAGATGTGAGTCAGATTTTTGTGAATCTTGTGGCTTTACCGAGTGAATTGTTGGATCTTGGAATGTTAAAGGTTGAGATTTTGAAGGTATTTGTGGCGGCTTTGTGTCTACAGACGATGAAATTGAAGATTTTAAAGGGTCTTCGGTTTGTTTTGAGTCTTGAGAATGTGGAATTTGTGTAATAGATGAAATATTTGGATCATTTTCATTTTCAGTGACAGAATTTTGAGGATCTGATGGAACTGCATCTAATCTCTCATCTCCAGTTGACATTCCTGGTTTATTTTGTTTACTAATTTCTGTTGTTGAAGTTTTTTGTGGCTCTTTGTTTTTTATATCAGAAGTTTCTGGATCTTTTGGTAATTTTTCACCTGTCTGACTCTCATTAGTGGAACCAGAAAGTTCTGGATGTAATATTTTTGGATCTTCAATTGTTGAATCTGTGCTTCCAAGTCCATCTTGTGGCTTGCCATCTGATGTACTCAATTGTTCTGAATCTAGAGGAGCATTTGAGTCATCAATGGCTTTATTTTTAAGCTTTTCATCACTTGATTGTTCTTTCAACTCTTTTAGATCTTCGTTTGATGAAATCTGCTTCATTGTCTCTACCTCAACTCGCTTTTCACTGCCAGGTAAAAGCTCTTCAAGTTCCATTTTTTCTTGTTCCTCAAAGTTTTTCTTTTCTTTAGTCGCATCATCTCCCCTTTGTGATATTTCGTTACTTGCATCCGCTTTGTCAACTTCTGTCGCTGAAATTTCATCATCTTGACTTTGTTGAGCTTCCGAAACTTTAAGTTTTTCATTAACTTTGTCTTCTTCGCCTTTAAAATCTGAAACTTTTTGCTCATCGCGCTGTGGAACTTTGTCATTATCAATTTTCATCGCATCATCATCATCAGCATCATCACGACGTGCAATAACTTCCGATAATTTTCCATCAGCAGTCTTCACTTGCTGTGACATAGAATCCTCACTTGTTTCTTTTGATGACAAAGTATCATGATCGTCTTGTGATTTCTTATCTGTTACATCCTTTTCAGCATGCTGACTTGTCATGAAATTCGAATCCATTTTCTCAGCAGGTTGTTGAATATTTGATACATTTTCATCAATTGATGAATGAATTTTATCATTTTGTGTTTCTAAATCTGTAGTTGTTGGCTGTCTGTTTTTAGGATCTGCATCATCAAGCTTATTTTCTGTATCTATCAAGCTGTCAACATCTGATGATTTTACACCTAAATCCTTCGTTATTTTCTTTGTGTCTGACATTGCAATATCATTTTCGTTCATCGTAAGCTTTTCTGATTCAATGAATTTCTTGGAAATATCATCAGCATCACGCATGACTTGCTCCTCATCATTCTTCTTAGAACTTATTATTTCACTTTCTTCTTCATTTCCGATTAAATCCTTTTCAATGTTTGTTGGATGCATAGCTTTAATATCGCGTGAAAAACTTGAATCAACAACATCCGGAACTCTTGCTTTACTTTCAACATTCTGCTTTAAATTTTCATCATCACCGCCAACACTAAATGAATCTAGAATCTGCTGATTGCTCTTATTCTTCTCGTCTTTCGTCGATGATTCCAAAAGTTCATCACCAATTTTCTCGGCAGCAACTTTATCTACATCCTTTGTTGAAATTTCATCACTTGATAAAGTTTCTATCACAGAATTTTTCTCATCTTGTGATGCTGACTCAATGCTTTTACGTTTTGCTGGAATTGGCTTAATTGACTCATTTAATGTCTCTGATGACTTTTCATCTTTTTTGTTCGGTACGTGAACAGGTGAAATATTCAGAATTTCATCTTCGACATTTTCTGCTGTCGATGACACTAATAAGCCTTTATTGATTGCATCCTTAATTGGTATGATGTCATTTGTGTTTGGATCTGTGTACGAATCATTTTTCAGATCTAAAAGACCTCGTTGAAGTGCTTCATTTACACTCACTTGTGTTGGAGACTTGTCAAAGGAAATTGAAGCTTTTTCAGAGGAGATTGAAACTTTTACAGGAGCTTTTGGTGCTTGCTCTGTTGAAATTGGAACTTTTTCAAAGGAAATTGGAGATTTTTCATCCTTTGGCTTATTGTCATCTAGTTGGATGTTAGCATCACCAGTTAATGACTTTCTTGGTATTGGAACAGGTCGTTCAATTGGTATATCCATACTTTCCTCACTCACGGAATGTTTTCTCGATTTTGATGGAGTTGCCATATCCTTAGGTGTTGGAATATCAAAGCTTGATCTCTGTGACACAAGTGCAGAGCGAGTCTCTGAGTGAGTAAAGTCACTGATTTCATCACGTCCAACAAGCCCACGCTCGTATGCAAGTTCAACAGGTATGTGTTGATTTGTAGATGGATCAAATACTAGTTTTAATGAATTAATAGCACCAGCAGCGGCAACGACAGGTGCGCCAACAACAATTAACAGTCCAGTTTTCACAGCATCAATTAATGAAGTTCTCTTCCCAGTCGAGTCAATTATTTCACCAGAATATGGCGATATTATGTCTTTTTTTATTGCATCATCAAATGATATGGCATCACCCGTGGAATGATCAATAATTTTCACAGATTTTGGATCAATAAGATTGTCTTTTACGGCTTGAATGATATTTTCAGATTTTCCAGTCTTCATGTCAATCACAAGAGCCGTCGATGGATCATAATATATGCCTGGTGAGATTTCAAGTGGCTCAGGACTTGTCAAGTCATCCTTACTTGGCATTTTTGATAATGGCAATGGTGGAACTTCATACGTAGTTGTTGTAATATGTGAAATTGATGTTGGTCTTGTTTCCTCCTGTAACTTAATAATTCCCTTCTCAATACTCTGATTCATCGGTATCCATCCATCTGGTGACCTGTAATGCCCAGTCGCGTCTAAAAGATTTCGCTCCAATGCACGATGAACATTAATCTCTTCCTTATATTTTGGATCAACGATTCTCAATGACTCGGGATTAATGAGACCCAATTGTATACACTCCTCAAAACTTACTAATCTATCAGTATTTGGAATGGTAAAGATACCGGAAGATGGATCGAAAATTTTCTGCTCAATTGCATCAGCAAGTTTCAAACTGCCGTCAGACTCAGGCAATAAAGTCTCATCTGGATAGTCAGCAATTTGTGTATTGGCAATTGTTATATAACGTTTTTCCATTTTCGTGACAGTCTCTGTTGTTAATGTTATATTAAGTAAGGAACTTAAAAGCAACGCACCTTCCGGTGTTATAATCTTTCTCTCAATTGCTTGATTAAGCGGAACAAATTGCGAATTATCAATTAAATAACCTGATTTCGGATCAATTAAATCATACAGTACTAAATCGAGTACAGAAAGCTCACGACCATTCATAAAGACACCCACACGACGATTCAACATTTCATTAACTTCTGACCTGACAACACCCATACCAATACCATCTGATAAAGTAATTAATTGGTTCTTTCCTATGTCAATTTTAAAACTATCATGTGAACGCACAAGCACGCCTTTCGAAAGTGAATCATTGAGTGATATAAAGTCATTCGAAAATGTCTCTTTAAATCCATCGATATCAAATATTGATTTTTGCGAAACAGATGATATTAAACCTTCATCAACAGCTTCTTGTATCGTCATCAACTCATTTGTTGTTGAATTTTTAAAATTATTATTAAGACCCACTACACCGCTACCTATAGCTTCATTCAATGTTATCAATTCTGAATTTTCATTTCCTAATGATATTGAATTAATCTTATCACCATCTAAAATGCCAACCTTTATCGCATCTAAAATATTCAACTGACGCTGACGTGTTGGTGAAAAAATCATTCCATCACGATCAATTAAATTTAAATCACACACATCTTTCAATGTCATTGGACGTACAATCAGTTGACGATTTTTCGCTTCACTGAATGTCAATTTTTCTTTTGTTATTGGATTTATATAGCGACCGGTTTTAGCATTTAATAGACCCGATGCAATTGCATCTGCAACAGTTACTTTAATATCGTTCCGGGTGTCAACAATCTCTTGACAATTTGATAAAATTAAGTCGTTCTCGATTGCCGAATCAAGTCGAAATTTATCACCGGCATTACGATCGACAACCCAACCCGATTGATCAACTAAGCCATACGAAATGGCATCAGCAAGACATAATGGCGTTGATTTAATTTTAACGGAATCATTTTTAATCAATAGGCCACGTTGATAGGCATCAGTTATGGTAATTGAACTACCATCAGGTAGCTTATATATGCCCTGAATTGGATCAACGGTTCCATCTTTTATGGCATCAGCAATTGTCTTAATATTTGATGGAGATATTGTGGCTGTTGAGGTTGTTACCTTTACACGCTTTTCAGATGTATCATGACCATTTTCTGCTTCTGATAGCTCACGACGTACCGCATCTAAATGATCACTTAATTTAACAGCTAAATCTGCATCAATTAACTTATGTTCTGCAGCCTTTTCGAGACTCATCTTCTCGCCTGATATCAGTATCATTTCGCCCGTTCGTACATCCAATAGATGTAATTTAATTGCTTCAGCAACTGTTAAGACATTACCCGTTGTTGGATCTAATATACCCGGCGTATCTAATATTCTTGTGCCTTCTGAATCTTTCATGCTGTGACTTCGTTTCGTTGAGCGAATTTCAGAGAATTCTAATGACTTTATCATTTTATCATTATCATTATTACTTCCATTTACATTTCCATTTGGCGATGGAATCTTTTCACTTTGATAGACAGTTGTACGCTTACTCGATGTTAATCTGGGTTAGAATTATTTTTTTTTTGTTTTTTAAGGATTAGTATGCAATGTTCTTGGTGCAAATTATACCGAATGATGTGAAAGTTAAATGCCGGAAATCAGCTATAGAATAATTTACAGACTATCACATCACTCGGTATCCATACTTAATAATGTGTGTATCTTTTAATTAGTAATGTTAGTACTTACTCAGACTTGCTATAGCTAATGTAAGTTTCATCATTATTATCAATTTCATCAGTACCGGAAGCGCCCATATTTAAGCAAGTACGATAAGTTCTTAATGGACGATGCAACGATTCAGCATAATTCTGTTGAATAATTCATTAATAAACAATGAATGTTCAGCTGATGATGGAGAAATGCATCAATTAACTTACCAATCCATCAGCACCATTAACCTCAATCGATGTACGTAAACGTTGTGACAGTGATTGCACCAACGATTCATATTTTGAATTTAAATTATCCAATCTTTGTGTATAAATTTCACCAGCACCTGGCTCACCCATTCGAATGTCACGACGTGGTGGAGAAAAGCTTGGTCGAATTTCCGTCAACCAATCAATATAGTGTGAGCATTTTCCATCATAGATCTAAGTTTTATATTTTTTTATACATTTTTGTTTTTTTTGCATGTGAAGGGTGTAGGTTTGTTTGTTTGTAGTTGTTATGATTAATAAATTAGTAAGTGTTGGTTAATTAATTTAATTTATATTTTATCATAAATTATACTCAAAAAAAGGTAAATAAGATTAATTTTATAATTTATAATAGGAAAATTTGTTGAGGGTAGTAAAAAAAGGGGGGATCTAATTATAATAAGCAGCAGCATATTGAAAGAAAAATTATTTTATTTCCCATGTTCAAATAGATTGGAAGAAGAAGTTAATTAAGGAAATTATTTTTAAATAAAAAAAATCTTCCACAGAATAATTAAAGAAATTTTTTTCTTCACTTTTATGAATTTTTTTTAAAAAGATTTTTTTGTAGAAAATTTGTATAAAAATAGGAGAAAAGGAGGTCAGGGATTGTTTGGACTTAGGGGTTCAGTATTGACTTGTTTTGTTTATACTATGGCTCGATGGTATATTGAGCAATGGACTCATGGTTAATGATTGTCTAATAAATCTTGAACAATAAACTATGGAATGATGGAATAGACACTAAAGACTGGTTCCTTGGGTATACCCTGATATGTAACCTAAGCCTGATGTTTGAGTATATCTTTTTAATTATCTGTTCCAAAATACTATAGTATGACCCTACCATATAACTAGAGTGATCCCTACAAATACTAGGTTTCAACTAATGATGCATGCTCGAGCTTCATTCAACTCATAAACATATTCCACATCTTCAAAAATATTAAAAGCAGCCATCCAGTCCACAACTAACCCTCTGATAACCTCAAAAATCGTCAATACCAAACCCCTGACTCCAAAACAATTCAATTTGTTCCAAACAAGGAAATATTTTTTTGATAACAAAACATACCTTTGCCTCTCTAAGCAGTCGACCACCAGTCACGTTAACTTGCTCCACTTTTGGTTTTCGCTCAACAGCTGATCCCAACATATTCTTTAAATTTTTCATTTTTTCAATTATTTTTCATAGGCAGTAAAAAAAAGTTTTTTTTTTTGTGATAAGGAATTCAAGGAGGATAAATTGAAAATTGGTCGGAGTGGAGAAAAGAGATGAAAGCCAGGACGAGCGCGGGGGTTTGAACACAAAAAAAAAGTAAATAGGATAACAAAAAAAATTTACATCATCACAGCCGTAAAAAGGGAGATAAGGGAGCAAAATTATGCAATTTGTATGTGTTTAAATGTGTGTATGTTAAATTATATACAAATAAAAGTGTTCAGATGTACACAGAGATATTCCATAATTTGAGGGAAGGAATTGAGATTGAGTTTTTTTTTCAGGGCGGGCATTCAAAAAGAGAAAAAAAGAAGAAAAGAGAATTTAAAAATATATTGGAACTTAAATTAGTTATTATCAATTAAATTAAATCTATATCTAAATAGCATTTTTATACAATTTTGTGTCAATTCCAATTCTAAATCTATCGTGAACCTTTTTCTCTAATTTTACATGCAAGAACTAAATTCTTTCCGGTGTATTAAACATTTTCATTCAAAATTTATCATTCACGCAATAATCCATTCAATATTTAAGATTCTTCAACATTACAGACAACGAGTATTTTGTCAAAGACAGGTACCGACAGTAGACGAATTTCGAAATTTTTTCGACGAATAAATTCTTCAATTTATAATTTTTTTTCATGGATAAAAATTAAGAATAAATATTTAAAGTTACTCACATCCAATTCACGAGCTGATGTTGCTGTTGGAAGACTTTGAAGCTTCTCTGTCTGCTTCTCGACCCATGTTTCCTCAACGACAATGCTGGTTTGTAGATTTTTCATTAATCCTATGGCTTGCTCGACACTTCTTAATCTGGATTGATTAGGATTGAAATGAATCATTAGACTAGATGTCCTCATCTGGACCAAAACTTCCAGAACTCCTCCCACTTCCTGTAAAGTCACAAACTACATACCTTTCAGCCAATTGCACACAAATATTATTCCATCGAGTATTCAACCTCTCAACATTAGCATGAAGACGTTTCAAGTCGCTAAGAACCTTTGTTGGAACTCCCATGCGTCCAAGTTGATCAGCTTGATCATTCATCTTATCCATTTGTGGCTGTTGTTGTGTAATAATGTCCTGAAGAGTTGACAATTGCTTGAAAACATCATGAAGACCTTCAGCTGTAGATGGCATTTCAATATGACGTGAGAGACGACCTTCAAGTTCCGAAATGACTTGTTCGTTTTCTTCAAGACCAGCAAGTGCACCTTCGAGCAATTTCAATCGATCAGCATGAAGACCGGCTTGTGTGTTGAGTTCTTTCCATAATTCTTTCAAGCTGTCCAAACTCTTTTTCAATGCTGGTGTCTTTAATGTAATTGTTCTGAATGTCTCTTGTAAATGATTTAGATCTGGTTCCAATAAGTTCAATCGACGACGATAATCTTCAAGGATTTGCACGGCATGTTCCAATGAATCAAGATCTCTTGGCATTGGCGAAAGAATAATGTGATCTAATTCACGTGCCATATCCTCGAGACGTGATTTTAATCCGATGCATTCTTCTGTGAAGATTCTGCTTGCTTGTTTGCTCTCCTCTGTGTGAAATTAAATAAGATTTTAATAAAATTATTTTTATCAGTTTAATTATCCAACCTGTGATTGTACATTGAAAGAAGCTTTTCATTCTTAAACTTTAACTGTGTGATCTATTTGAGAGTCTTCTACCGACTAAAGTCATTTATCAACATTTATTTATGTTCAGACATGCTTTAATGCTTCATGTTGTCGTTGATCAATAAATTAGTTTGAAATTTAATTAATCAATTGACGCAATAGTTGGGAAATTGTTTATAAATGAAAAATATGTGAGGAAATAGATGCATGTGCTGTGGGCGTGTGGGTGCACATGCACATTACGGAAATATTGAATATTTGATCAAAATTCTTCTGAATATGTCGAACGTGATAAATTTTGTGGGAAAGTTGGGCAGTTTGGAATTGTTTGCAGGGTTTGCGACATTCAAATGTATCACATTAAAATAATAATCGCATATCAACTTACCCTCGGCTCTTGCTCTCTTCTCAAACTCGTCAAACAATCGATTAACTTCATCCATTTCACGTCTTAATCGTCTCAATTGTGGATCTGATGGATCTCCTTCAGCCAATAACTTATCAGCATCATCATTAAGTGCACGACGAATAGCTGTTCTTTGTTCAGCACCCATTGCTAAGAATTGATCAAAGTCCCATCCTTTAACTACCTTAATAGTTGCAAAAATCATGTTTTGTCTCAATCGGAGCTGTTTCTTCTGCCATAATGCAACTGTTCTGTCAAAAAGTCGCTTCAAACGTTCAGCTGCATCGATAGCTTCAGCATCAGGTGGTGGAAGTAAGAGACATACTCCAGGTACGGTACCTTCGACATTCTTTTGTGTACGTACACGCCATTTAACACGTCCTGATGTATCAATTAATGTACATGTTTCATTCTTATCTAAATTAACTTGACCACCTTGCTTATAGGCACAAATTGATTGAACTTGACATTGACGATTAACAGGCTGCTTACGCTGCTTTAATGGCACAACATTTTGGGCACGTTGTTGTAATAATTGGACGGTTTCACCAAATGTATTTAATTCCTCACGAATATCCTGCATACCACGCAATAATGACTCACCTTGATCCAATCCGAATTCTGATTGCGAATATTTAGTATTCAGAATATCGTCACGTTTTGCGAGCCATGCTTCTGCATCCTTAATTTCCGTGTAGAAATTATGGTACTCGGTCGCATGCTTAAGATGAACTTCTAAGCATAATGTGAGTTGGAGAAGCCATGACCATTGAGATTGGAGTGCTTGAAGATGTTCCTCGATTGTTTTTGATGCTGGATGTTGTTGGAGCAACAAGGCTTCACCGCGATCTAAGATTGTAGCAAAGTGCATCTCACGCTTTTCTAATTCTGACATGAGGTTCTGGAAAAATTGAAGGGAACCGAGCATTAATTAATGAAATTAGGAGCTGACTAGAATATTTGCGGTAAGCGAAATTTTGAAAAATTTAAAAAATAATTTTGATTTTGTGGCCGAATAAAAAATTAGAACTAAAATGTTTCTGGCGAGCTAGAGGTAAAGACTTACATCCGCACCATTTCCATAATGATGCTTTCGAGTATAAAATTGAGAGGAAAAATATTTACAGTTAATTAAAAAAGTTTTTAAAAATAACATTGACTAATCTCATGGATATGATCTGTAGGATTCAGAAACAAATTTTCCAATTAGAAATTAATCCTTGAGAATAATCCAATTGGAATCAGCGAATAGCTGAAATAATCCACAACATCAAAGTAAAATCGACCTTTATGAGAAGTATTCTCACTAAATTCCGATCAACACACATTGAGATGTTGATCCACAAAGCTAATAGTATACTTAGAATCAAGAAGCAACCATTGCCAAGCAGTTACCTCTTGATTCTTAAAACATCATACTCTTATCCACATTATGGACAACAAACCAACGTATGCCGCTCGGGTTTCATCCATTCAATCATCAAATTAGGAAATTCCATATAAATCCAATGAAACATTGCAAAATACCGAAATAGTTTCAACTTCTTCAACCTTACCTCATAATAACGATGCACAGCAGGCAAATCTAAATTCTTATCTGCCCAATCGCGAGTAATTTCAATTTGTTCACGTTCATGAAGCCATTGAAGTTCAGATGTTGCTGTTGTGAGGAAATCTTGAAGTGCATCTAGTTCCGATAATCTCTTTGTGCTCGTCGTCAATAACTCAGCATAGAGTTTCTGCAATTGACTCAATTTCTGTTGATACAGATTCAATTCATCACCGGTAAAGTTTGTTTGTTGTCTTTCAGCATGTTGAATTTTGGAATGGAATTGATCGATGATTTTATGCTCTTGTTGGTGACGTTCAAGTTCGACTTTAACAGATGGTAAGTCACCACCGAAATCGCTGCCTAATAGCTGCTTCAATTTATGTTGACACCATTCTGTATATTCTTGTAAATCTCTAAAGTACGGATTTGTTCCAACTTGTCGTTGCTCAACGACTGTTCGAATGTCCTTCTTGACTGTCTTTTCATGCACTGGATATTTCATGCCGGCAAGTTTTTGTAACAGAGTTGTATTGAAATCAGTACGAAGTTGTGTCCAGCGTTGATGTAACTTTGTGACACGCTTCTGTAAGTCACTTGCTTGTGGATATCGATTCTCTTTCAACAAATGACAATCATGATTCATCTCCTGTATTGGATGTTCTAAATGACGAATTTCTGTCTCTAAACCTTCGACAGTATTTTTTGCATCAATCGGATGTAGACGATCAATGCGACGAGACTCTTCTGAGATTCGTACTTCAAGACTAGTTATACGCTGCTCGGTGATTTTGATTTCACGATGAACTTTCTCAGCTAAACGCTGAATGTTGTCAACTTTACTGATCTCTGTCTGTAAAATGTGTTCACGATCAGTAAGTGATTGTAATAATTTATTCCATGCCTTTTCTAATGAATCTGGACGTAAGTCGGCTTCAACTTCAATTTCACCAATTGATTCAAAATATCTTTCGAGTTCCTTATAAGTGGAAAATAATCGCTGCTTATCGCGATGACGTGGTGGAATTTCCTCATTTCTAAACTTATTCAATTCCGTTAATAATCGTTTCAATTCAATTAATGTCGTTCCAAAGGATCTCTCCTGTAATAATGATGTCTTCTCGCGACACCAATACAATAGTTGTTGTGCTGTTTCACGGTAATCTTGAACCTTACGTTGAGAGTCCATATCAAATAATGGATGCATTTGTGGTGGTTCTGGGAAGACATCATACAGTGAACTCAAATATGTAATCATTGACTTCTCATCTGGTTCATTTGTGTCGACATCCTAAAATAAGCCAAATAAAAATGTTTAGAAATAGAAACAAAAAAATGTTTTTTGAGCACGTGAGAAAATAGCAGTTGATGTTGTTACAAATACATGAACTTTTATGGAATAAAAATTTTCAATTTTAATTAAAAAAATGTACAACATATACAAATACACAAGTGCCATTCATGTCAATCAAAAATGTATGAAAAATAAGACATAACATTTTATTACCTCTGGATCGAGAAGTCTCGTAACACCATATTCCTTCTCAACGACATGGAATGCAGTTTCAAGTCGCTCACGTGTCCTTTTCTGTCTTGACTCACTCCATGACAACAAATCGGGACGATTTCGATGTATGAGAGCAGAGAATGCCAAACCATCACGCCATGATGCTGTAAAGTCATTAACACGAACGCCTGGATAACGAGCTGTTGAACGACGTGCCCAACGAAGGAGCGCTTCACGTGCTGTCATATTATCCTCTTGTCCAACGACAATATCGGAAATCTGTAATTGAAGGATATTTTTTATTGGGTTGCAATTAATATTGGAAATAGAATATTTAAATTTTTTCCTCGTTCGGTTCCATTAAGATGATTTGTGTATGTAAATTTCCATGAAAATATTTTTAACACTCTGTCTGGAGAGTGTGGGTGGTTGTCAGCACCTTTTTTTAACCATTAATACTTTATGATTGTGTTTTTTTTAATTTAAATTGTGGTTTAAATACCTGTGCTTTAATGTGTAGCTACACAATTCTATAGCTACTATTTTTAACAAATTGAAATATTCGATAAAAAAATCCTTTAAAGTCCTTCAATTTATTAACATGATATTCCTGAATACTTCAGCTTACATAGAATGCTTTTGAGCTTCCTACTCAAAAGCTTATGTATCGTCATTTGACAAATAAATATCAATATTTGCTATCCCAATTGATCAAAAAAATAGCTCAAAATTCCCAGGAACATCGTATCAGAATGTTTAAAAAAATAAATAAAAATATTTTACCGCCTCTGCATCATTTCATTGATCAACCAGTCCGATACTCAATGACAAGATGAAAAAAGAGTCATTTAATAAATCAAATTGAACCATATATGGGCATCAAGCACAGCAACACATATTTAACATGACGTAACAATTTTAAATAACTGAGAGACTCAGAAAATGAGAGTCAGTCGGCAAAGTACTTGGCATGACACTTAATTAGACATAAAGTATTTATAGACATGAATTAACAATTTCATTTGTGCTCTGTGTTGCGTTACCAGTACAAATGTTACTTATTTGTATGATTAATGAGATGATATATTGAAATGAATTCAAATCACGGATGAACTTTTTTTTAATGCTACTGGAATTCCACATCAACAATATTTTTTCCTTCATCATCAACACAGAACGTACGCAAGATAAATCTCAATATGTGATGTGAATTTTTCATTTTCGCGGAACGAGAAGGGGTCGTGAGGAAATGACGTTTGGGTGGGTATTGGGATTGTAGACAACTTGACTATGCCATGTTCTGTCGATACTACGAAGGGATCATACAATGGCTAAACACTTGTTTGACGACTTTGTTAGATCCAGAACTCCTTCCTTGATTTGAACCATAATAATTGCACGATACCCCAAATAAAGTTCATTCTTAGCAGTAAATGTGGATGTTCTATAATTAAAATGCAATCTAATTACTCATATTATGAACGAGAAGAGAGGAAGAGCTTTAAAGTAATTAAAGTGTAATTTATTAAGTCTTATGTCTTAAAATGCACTGAACAGAACGAGAACGAAAGTTCCTCATTTTTTGTAAAGATTAAATTTTCTAGGAAAATAGAAACAATTAAGGAAAAACTTTCTAATTAGATTAAATCGTAAACTTCTTGGAGGTTAAAGCACCAAATCATATTTACACTCGTGTATTGGAATTAAGACACTTTAAAGAACAAGAATTAAGGAGGTTGAAGAAGACAACTCGTACTTATGCGTTGTTATATTACCAGTAGAACTACAAAATAGACTCAACGATGACTTGTACAAAAATTCTTTAGAAATCGAACAAATTGAAGGCGGTGCTGTAAATCAAATTTTATTCACACTTTTATTGATTTCACTTTCAATAAAAAAAAAACGAAATAAAGGAGAATTAGACAACTAGCACCTGCCAAAATATCACTTTCAAATTGATTCTTATTCTTGATCGAAAGTGAAGCTAATTTTGAATATTTTTAATGGAATTGATCTGAATCACGTCAAGGAGATTTGAAGTTCAAGAGAATTTATAAATTCTATGCTTAACAAAAGTCGTTGGAAATATTTTTTTGCAGTTGTCAATCATAAGTGACGATCTTATATTGTCGAGACTCTTAAACAAATTTACACGAAAAAGGAGTGTCATTTAAACTCAAATTCTTTAAATTCTCTAGGCTCAATCAGAACACAGCAAATATTAATATGATGTTGCTTTAAGAGCTCTTAAAGATAAGCAAATAATTGCAAATCCAGAATTATTTTGTTCTTGAAGACAATCTAAACCTTAGTCAACTCAAAATACGTGAACATACTCTCAAAAAGCTTATCTCTAATGATGTTCTTGACACGAAGAATCTGTCTCAATAGTCATATCATAAAACAAACAAAAAGAATCAGAATTGTCAATATTTTCCCTCAACACATTAACCTCGAAATTGGTTAGACATGTCCGTTGAGAAAAATTGAAGCGAGACAATGAAAAATGGTGTGAATTTTAGAGTTTGTTGGACATTTTGGATCAGTCAGCTCGTCTCTAGATTTCAAGTTTGAATTCAATGTTTGGAAAATTGTTTTTCCTTTCGACTCTCGGTTTGACTTTAGTAAGTATCCCAAAATTAGACAGAATACAGCAGCTAAGGAGTCGTAGCCAAAGGAACAAAATTTAATTGGCAAAAACAATCCTCAACTTGTTGATCTTTAAGCCCACCAGACAAAACATTTCATTAAAAAGTCAACAAATCAAACAATTTCATTCCGACAAAAAGAATCAAATTAAATTAATTTTAGACGTTCCAAAAAAACTGTACAAAAATTCAAAGTCATCGCAACAAGTTCACAAGAAAAATTCAGAGTAAAAAGTTTTTTTGTAGACAATTTATTTCAATTATTCAACGCTAGTCGGAAACATTTGGACTTTAATGAAGATTTTTAATCTACCGACTAGGAAGGAACAGCTTGCAAATTCAGACATTAAATCCGAGGTAGATAAATGACTCAATCCTCTTCAAATTCCAGTTATTTAAACATCCAAAAAGAAAAGATAAGCAATTTATTTTAAGATAGTGAGCCGTCATCAAATCTCGTTTTATCCACAAATCTCAAGCTGACTATTTATTGTCAAATAATAAAAAAGAACCATCATATCATCTAGCTAATAATAAATCCGTGTTTATCTATTAGCATCGAACATATAAAAAATTTGTAGCCTTTATTTGAGATTCTTAGTGGCACTTACAGCTACTTATTTAATTGATCTATTCAAGTGCCTCATTTGAGAGTGTTTGCAAAGCTTTTAGTCATGACAAAAATATCCATTCATCACAAATATAGCAGAAGCTAGAATCAGAACAAAAGAATCTTGTCAATTATCGGAACTAATGAGCAGTATGACAAGAAAAATCATTAAAAAAATATTCTAAACGCCTCCGTCGACTAAATGCCTCGTATTAATAAAATCAATTCACAAAAGTGCCAAATATTTGTGTATATATTGGTACATTCATTCATAAATGGCAGAACGGCAACACAAAAAAGCTCTTTTGTATGAGTATGTTGTTTTTTTTTCGGCTGGTTGACATTGAAAATGAGAGATCCGCTGCTGTTAAAGTTTTTATTATTATTAGCTTTGGAATAACAAGATTTAAATTTGATTGTGGGCGATTATGTATGTTCAATTTCTTTCTATTAATAATGTCGAGTGGATTGAGTAGGAATTGATATTTTCGAGGATTAGGTTGGGCTGTATTCTGTTTTAGAGATAAGTCTTGAACCTCTTGGGGGTTAGATATGACAGGAATTGGCACATTGCATAGTAAAACTCAAACTCTAGTTAAATTACAAATAATCCCAAACCTAGCTTGCAATTTTATTACCAATCATGTCAATTTCCTAACAAACCTCAAGATTTCAAGTTCAAATCCCAAAGATTCTGTCTCAGAAATCATAAAATCCCCTCAATTACATTATAAATCATATTCTACCTTGACTCGCTTTGGTCCTTCAATAGAATGAGTTGCCATGTATCCAAGTTCAGTTGTCTTTCTATCATTCGAGAATTTAATCATATTATTTGCCTGTGCACGCTCTTCAGCACGACTTAATGTCGTTACTTTTCTAACAATATGTGTAACATGTCGTCTATGTCCATCTGGTGCACGTTGAGTGGTCTTTGTTGTATGCATTGTATTGCCAAGCACTTCAGTTGATATACGTTTATTTCTCGTTATTTGCTGAAGATCTTTTGTCATACCAGCATCATAATCATCATCACGGACAGGCAATGAATATACCAAAGCATTATTTGATGCATCAACAACATCACGATCAATTCGACGATTATCTCTATTTGTATAATCGGTTATAACCGCTTCAATTGTTTTCTCATGAATTACATCATGACGAAATTTAATTCCTTTATCATCGATGTTTGTTGTGATTGCGGAACCACGTGGTACAAGGGCACGACTACCACTTGGTGATGGTGCGGATGGAGTTTCACGTGTTGCACGCATAAAAAGTCGACCTGGTGGTCGAAAATCATCATCGAACTTGTACATTGTACTCAATAACCATTCAAAAGTATTTCACAAAGTTTTTTACTCGATTCACCTGATTACAAATAGACGTAAGCACTTGCATGACAAGCCATAATTTGTATCAATAATTGATTAAATTGCAGAGATAGACAAACAAATTCAATAGACAATTTTAGCTGTTTTGTGCAGCATTAGACATAAAATAAATTTTTATCACGACCCACTGATGCGGTGGAAGTAAAAAAATAAATTAAATCCAGCCAGCGCGCTGTCAACAAACAACATTCGTAATAGCTTATAATTAAATTATGGTGGAAGTAAATTTTTTTTTATGACTTTTTCAGCTTTTGTGATTGAAGAATGAAAAAAATCTTATCAATCACTCAATAAAAATTTATCACTTTAATGATTGTGTCGAGGTATGGGACTACCTAATGGCGCATATTTTATTTGGTATTGTTCAAAAACAATAAAATAATGTTGAAGATATCATTTTTTGTTTTGTTTTGCTATGTGCTGGGTAGCATTGTGGGCTTTTCGAGGAAGGTATGCATGTTGGGATGGGTAGACACCAAAAATAGTATAATGTATGGACATACTTTATGTTTTGTTTGAGAAAATCAACATATATTGATATTTTTATGTAATGGCAGACATTATTGAACACCTTTGACCTGTAAGGCATAAAAGGTCTCTCTTTATATAGCTTTTGGGTGA